CTTGTTCTGGGTTCGAAACCTGAGAGCAAAGGAACAAAAGGTGAAAGAAAGAGGGAAGCTAAAAGAGAGGAACTTTTGCTCTGTTTCTAAATTGGGTCTCTAGGGGAATCCCACCATGGTGAGGTGAGGTATGCCAGGGAAGAAGGGAAATAATGATGTGGCCTGTGAGGTAGAAGGAATACTAGGTCAGTTCCCTGTGACCTCAGATCTTCACTGATGGGAGAGATACAGACCTTCCCCTGCACTCCCAGTGGAAAGTGGGAGGCGAGCTGAGATCCAGGCTGAGATGGGGCTGCCGTGATGAAGGACAGGGTGACCTAGAGCGAAGGCTACAGGCTACTCAGTCAGTAAAGAGCAATGTGGCCCAACGTGGGGAAACTGCCTCACCTGCTAGTACATAACCACGTGGCCAAGGCCCACACTCTGCTACCTTGGCATTCCTGGTGCTCCCCTCACATCTTCTTGGTCCAGCAACAGGCATGCTGGAGTATCTGGTCTGATGGGTTGGTGCTCATGCCCTACCGCTTGCTAAACATTTTGAGTATCACCTGGAAAGTCTAAGCCAGGGAAGAAACAAGGTGATGGCCAAGACACAGAGGAGCTGTGGAGCCAATGAAAGGCATAGTGGGCCTAAGCCAGCCAGAGCATTGGCTTGAAGCAGCAGAGGCACCAGAGCTCAGGTTTTCCCAGCCATGGACCCCAGCAGTAGATTCAGCAGGACATCCCATGACCAGGCAGGTCCAGGGACATCTCCCAGGTCAGCACGTGTGGATCAGCCACCTCCCCACCATTCCCCCTATCCTCAGGCTCCTTCCTGGCTGGAAGGAGGTGCCCTGTGAAAAACTGGAAGACTGAGTGTCTACCCAAAAGAAACTGAATGAATCCAAGAGAGGCAAATTGGAGCCAACTGAGGTGGAGATAACATGTAGTGGCACGTTTCATTCTCCTTCACTAGTGAAAAGGGGCCACCGGAACCAAATGAGATTGTTAATAGAAAAGGTATTTTGTGTTTTTTTGGCATCAATTTGCAATGAGTATAAGTTTTCACCATGTTACATATATATATATTATTTTTTGGAAGGAATTATTTCTTTTATAGGAATATTTCTTTTATATATAAAAGAAATAATTCCTTTCAAATTGTTAAGATGTCAAAACAGACAGGATTTTTATTTATTTTTTTTTTTTTTTGAGACAGGATCTCACTCTGTCTCCCAGGCTAGAGTGCAGTGGCATCATCATAGTTCACTGCAACCTCCTACTTCTGGGTTCAAGCCATCCTCCTGCCTACGTCTCCTGAGCAGCTGGGACTGCAGGCACCTGTCACCACACCCAGCTAATTTTTCTATTTTTAGTATAGATGGGGTCTTGCTCTTGCTCAGGCTGGTCTTGAAATCCTGGCCTCAAGTGATCCTCCCAAAGGGAGCCACCACCAGGCCTGGCCAGGATTTTCTTTTTGTGCTTTGAAAGATCATCTTCTACTCACCAGAAAATGTGCCCATCTAGAATGCCTTGTCCTCTGAGGGCCACCAAAGGTGACAGTTATCCTGAGCCCTCCTTCCAGTGTGTCCACAAGAAAAGGTAAAAGTCAACCAAAAAAAAAAAAAAAAAAACTGAAAAACCCAAGTGATTTTTATCTATTCTGTGTGGGAAAATCCCCCACCCCTCACCACAAGAAAACCTGATCTTTAGCCTGAACACAGCCCATATTTACCGGGGTTTCCCTACAGACCCAAAAAGTCCCCCCAGGAAACACTCTGCTCTCCCCGGGGAGTGGACAAGGGTTCCATTCGCACTCCCAGCCCCTCTGGCTTCTCTCTGCGGTTAGGTGCCAACCAGCTTGGTCCTGGTGGTGAGCACAGCTCCATGAAACTTGGTGACCCTTCCCTTCCCACTCCAGCTGACCTAACCGAGCAGCAGAGTGCGGGAGGCACAGCCATGTCTGCCAGTATTCACTCTCTGCACCCGTGAAGCCCGCATGGCACGTGATTGGAAAGGACCAGTACATCCCCAGGCCTGTGCATTTCCTCACGGGTAGGGGGGGTGCTCCAGTCTGCCTCTCTTCCCCCGCGGCGCTGAGGCAGAGCTCTGTTTTTCCACGCTGTGCACACAGCACGGGCCACAGTCCTGACAGGAGGCTGAGGTCCACTGCCGTCCCGATCCACTCGCCTGCTCCTGCTGTGTCTGTTTCTCCTTCTGGTAAATAGGAAGGAGTAACCTCCCTCCCAGCCCTGGTGTCGGAACAACGTGAGCCCCACATATGGTCACTGTAACTTCTGTTTTGAAAATGGCCGGGGTCCTTGAGGGGCTGTCACGAGTCATCACAGTCCGACGCAGTTACCAATGATGATGATGCAGCACGAGCAAGAAATAAACATGTATTGTATTAAGCTACCGAGTGGTGTTAAGCTATTGCTGCAGTACACCTGGTATGCACAGCGACCAACAGAAGGATTAGGACATTGTATTCATTTTCTATTGCCGTGTAACAAACCACCACAAACTCAGTCGCTTAAAACAACCCCATTTGTGAGCTCACGTTGCTCTAGGTCAGATGTCTGGGCTGGCTTAGATGGGGGTCCCACAGACTGAAATCAAAGTGTCAGTTGAACCACGTTCCTTGCTGGAGTTGGAGGTACTGTTCCAAGCTCACATGGTTGTTGCGATTGTGGGGCTGGGGTCTCCGCTTTCTTGCTGAATGAGACCTCTCTCAGCTATAGACACCACCCATGTTTTCCTGCCCTGTGGCCCTCTCCACAGCATGACGACAGAACATCTGCTGCTGCTTCGATCTCTCTGACCACTTGACTCTTCTAAGGAGAGCCCCCGATGACATCAGGCACACCCAGCATGGTCTTCCGTTCATCAGCTAATTGGGAACCTAAATTACATCTATAGAATTCCGTCACCTGTGCCATATAAGTAACCTGATCATGGGAGTGATATTCCACCTATTCAAATATCTCACAGGGAGGGGATTATACCAGGGCATCAATCAGCAGGAATCATCGTAGAATTCTGCCTATCACAGACATTTGAAAAAAATATTCTGATGAATATTAGCTCTAGAAATTTAGGATCCACCGGAAGCTTTCCATTAACTTCTTCCTTGCTCCCAGACCTCTTCCTGAATTTTCTAAGGTCCTGCTGCTCAAAGTATGGTCTGTGGACCAGCAGCATGAACACTTGTGAGAAATGTAGACTCTCAGGCCTAACCTCACACCTCAGGAATCAGTCATCTGCACATTAACAAGATTCCTGAGAGATGTGAGAAGCATTGATCTCAAAATCCCCTTGTCCTGAAATACTCCCTCAGAGGCTTGTCCCTGGGCATGACACTCCTCTTCTCTCCTAAGGAAGTGGTTCTCCAAGTGTGGTCCCCAGGCCAGTGGCATCAGCATCACCTGGGAACTTATCAGAAATGCAGACTCTCAGGTCCCCAAACAACATCCTGAGTCAGAAATTCTGGCTGGGCCCCGCAATCTGTGTTTCAATAAGTATCAGGTGACTCTGATGCAGCCTCAAGGTTGAGAACCACTGGCCAAAGGCAGTGTCATGACCGAGCGTCCCCCAGGTGGAGAGCGGGGAGGATGACATGAAGAGGCAACCTGCGTCTGCACTGCTTGCACTCCTTCCGTCGTGCTGTTTCCAGGGACCCACTGAGCTCCCCTGGAGGTGGGGAGGAGGGATCAGGGTTTCTGGGTCTTCTGGATCACTCAGCTCTGGTTGTCAAACAGTCAGGCGTTGCAGGTTGGGGTGGCAGAGGGGACATTGAGGGGAAGGTGGTCGGCAGGGCCAGGAAGGGGGCTTCCAGGCCAACTGAGAACATCCCAGGCAGACACTATCCTCCCAGCTCCCCCAACCCATTAAGCTAAGATTCCTTCTTGCCTTTTGGGATAAACAAAGGAACAAAAAAATGGACAAGAAAACTACAATAAAAATGGAAAAGATTTTAAATGAGGTTTAAAGGAAGGCGCTCTCTTCCGTCTGTGATGTGGGAATGCCAAGTGAGCCAGGAGAAAGGATGCCCACTGGCCTGGGAGGGCAGAGCTGAAGAAATGGGCAGGGCAAGGGGGAGTCTGGTGGGAGACAAGATGAAGCAGAGAGAGGAGAGCTGGCAGCACCCACCGCAGACATGCAGTGCTGGGAGGGACAGGAGGGTTGGGACACCCAGTTGCCTCAGTTCACACAACAGGAAACTCAGAGAGATAGATGCTGACCAAGATCGCACCACCTTAGACACAGAGCTGGAAGGCTGGGGCTCGAAGAAGAGGAAGGGGCTCCAAAAGGGAATGGGATTCAAGAGAGGGAGCTCCAAAGAGTAAGAGCAAACATTTAGGTGGCACCTGCTTGGTCCCGACCATTGTTCTAAGTGCTTTATGTTATTCAGATTCTTTGGCTATGTTGATCATCACCATCAAGACCGCTACTTGCAGAGGGGGAGATTGAGGAACTGAATAGGTAAACTGTGTAACATCACACAGCTAGTCAGAAGCAAAGCTGGACTTTGGGCCCAGGCCAGTTAGCCTCAGGGGACACGCTGCACTGTGCTCTGCCACCTCTCACAGACAACCTCCAGCCTCACTGTTCAGCCGATACCAAGAGCTCAGGCATCAGAGAAACTACACATACTTTTAAAAATCAAACATTCTACACTAGAAAATCCCAAGGAAGAAAGCCTCTACATTCAGCAAGTCCGTATCTGACAATCAATTTCCTCCTGTCAGATCCTACAACGTTTTTGCCTGACACCTAGAACCACACAACGTTCTTAGAAACCCTTGGATCTAGCCCTTTCTTTTACAGATAGAGAAACTGAGGGCCAGAACGGTCAAGAAATGCTTAAGGTCACCTTCACACAGGTGAAGAAGGTCACAGATGAAGAAGGCCACCCAAATGAGGTCTGGAGTCACCTGAGATCCATCAGAATGGACTCAGGCATCCTGACCCCCAGATAGCACTCTCTCTCTGTCTCTCTCTGTCTCTCAGAAGCCTCTTACCTGCAGCTCTGCATTCTTTCACCTTGTTGCTTCTCGCCTGGGGAAGGCTGCCAGGCCAGACTTTCACCTTCAGTGGGAGCTTGGCTGTCCGGGCAGGGATTTATAACCTCCTGGCTCAGGATTTCCCAACTGGCTGTGTCACTCGCTCCCAATGGGTGGCGGTGGACACACCTTTTTCCTCTTCACAGGGGAGCACCCCCAGCTGCAGTCCTGGGTACGTGGTCACCCAGATGGGGAAGTGGGCAAGGAAACTCTGCGTAAGTTTCCCTATTTTTTTGTGACTCGCCAAAAATTACGTACTTCCAACTGAGAGGTGGTTTTAAAGTGATGTACATTTTGTTTTGCCCGACCATGGCCCCATGAAAGAGAAAAAGAGGCCCTTGGTTTTTAGCCAGTGGGAGAGTTTGTTTCTCCTCCCTCCCCAAGGAACCCTTCTAGGATCTAAGGAAGGTTTAAGCTTATGTTTTGGTTTGGTTGGGGTTTTTTTCAGAATCTTATATAATTTTTAATTGTTAGGTGAAGGAAAGAGTTGATTTGCTAATCGTTTATTACCTTTTGTGGAGTTTGCTTGATTGAATAGTTTGTATTCTACAAGTGGAATCCAGTGCTAAGTCATGTCCTTACAAAACAAATGTCTCCTAACTCCTCTGGCAGGCCCCTCCCCCACAAGTCACCTCCACAGCATTAGAGAGAGGACAGAGCCGGGCATGGGGAGCCTGACCCCCAGCTGCTGCAGGCACTTGCTCAGAGCCACCCGGATCCCCTGCAAGCCCTGGTGACAGGGCCAACTTCCATCCGGCCTCTCAACACCCTCCACCTCGCTGACTCAAATCCATACTGGCCTCCAGGGACGGAACTTCAAAGACCTCAGGAAGCCAAGAGGGTAAGGACTTGGCCGCAGGCTCCCTAGAAGGCCAGGGCCTGGGGCTCGAACCCCCCGTGTCCCCCTGCCTATGTGCAGGCCGTGTCACATAGTTTAGGCAGAGGTGTCATTTGGATTCCCCTGTTGGTAGATGGAGAAGAAGTTTGCTTTTCAAAATGTACCTTAAAATCCATGTTATTAAACTTAATGACACTTTCTGGCTGATTGATTCAGATCTACATATTCTTTTACAGGTGAAATGGCAGGTACAGAAACTCTTTTAGAAAACTCTTAGGAATTTCATACCCAGAACAAACAGCTCACAGTCAGAAGGGTCCACTGGCCCTACTTTTATCCTTTTGCTAACAAGGAACGTAACTCTTAGAGGTCAAAACCCAGATAATAAAATCAGAGAAAAATACAATGTTAGAGCTAGATGGAAACTTAGATCAAATCCATCCTCCAGTTTAAAGAAGAAAACACTGAGGTCTGGGCATTTGGGGAGCTGCAGGTGAGTAAGCTGTATTACTTTTATGGTGTGTGTAATTTCATGATGGGTGGTATTCTTATGGAAACAGTGAATACCCCAAACTGGGGTTTGCTGGGCAAAGTATAAATGTTACATTGTATCCATGTTTGTTCTTTTTCCAAGGACCAGTGGAGGGTGGAATATTTGTTTTGATTCCATCATTTTGACATGGTAAGATTGAAGTGTGAACTATACATCTTGGGGTCAAGCCTAATAAGTGTTAAGGACAGGAATTCCCCCAGCAGGAAGATCTCACCAAACACATCATGCCAAGAAAAAAAGCATGCCAATAATTGAGTTCCTCTCTCCCCACTCTCTCTGTGGTCAACCAAACACATCACTCCCAGCTGACCTGCCTTGATTGGGATCCTCTTCACTGAATAACACAGGCAGCGCACAGCTTAATATAGCCAAAGAGAGGAAGCAAAATCATGAAATCTGCCTCTGGCCATGCTGAATGTAATTGCTGATCTTGTGATCTACAAAGAGGAATTTACACAACCTCACTTCTTTATGGAAAAACTTGATCACAGAGTCACAAGAATCGCCTGAACAGTCTTTTCAAGAACGAATGCTCAGACCCAATGGTCAGACGAGAATAAGTCCCCACGCCTGCAGTCCGACTCAAGGAACAATGGCTGCTTTTCCTGTGTCCCTCCTGCTCCATTCGTGGCCTGCACTGTGCTGTTCCCACCATCAACAGCACATTGGGTTCAATTTCTTCACCAGCTGATGGGAAATGGACAAGGTACAGAATGTTCTGTAGTATCTCGAAATCCTCTGAGGTTTGGGTGAAAGTCCCCTAGGATGTTGATTGCAAGGACTGAAGCAATGATTCTTTATTTTTTAGACCCAGGAGGACTTTCCACAGTCTGTTCTGGCTCAGAGATTAACAGAATCCTCTGAAAGCCCTTGCAGCAAAGTTTTGATTCCTTTTCCTTCCTTGTAATGTACAAACCAGAGGGTGGAGGAAGGTGAGAAGGGAGTTTGGAGAGAGGAGGGTGTCTGTTGGCCCCTGTGACATGTATTATAACAGGTGTTACCTGTCCCCAGTTTTATGGTACAGCCTCAATTCCACATACTCGATTATACCATCCCCATAAATCCACTCATTCTTATCAGATCAGCCTTCCATCATTTTGACTCAAGAAAATATGGTCATCAAAACCATAGGATAAATTTAGAAATCAGCCCCCACAAAATTAAAAATTCTAAGGCCTGCACTGGTCAACTGGACAATAGCAGAAAAAACTCGATGTCTTAGTCCCTTTTGACATATGCGGTAACATGTTCATAGCTTCCAGGGATTAGGACGTGGACGTCTTTGGGCTCCGTTACTCGGCCTACCACAAGCTCATAGACTCCGTCCAGTCCTCGTGGTTTGAGCTTTACAATTCTACACAGAAGCATTAAAAAAAAAAGGCTCTGCATTCATATGAATTGGAATGCCAGAATTCCTTTCACACCTAAAGCTAAAGGTGTCTAGAAAGCATAGACAAAGTATGCATAGAGCTTTAAAATTTGTAGGAGAGACTTTATTGTGCTATTCTTTTTAGAGAAGATCCAGTCTTCACAGTAGAAGGGCTTTTTTGTTCCAGGCTTTCCTTCTACTTCGTTCTCCCACCTTGGGTTTCCATGAGAGATGCTGGGAGAGGATGAGACTTCCAGGAGGCCACCCATGGGTGGAAGAGCAGGAGAGTGGCATGCTCTGGGCACCGGGTACCGGATTGGGCCTGGTGCCCTCGTAGGAGAGAGAAGCCCTGAAGTGGGACCAGGTTCCAGCTGTCCTCTCATCCGTGCTCTGGGTCTTGTGGCAGGGCAGGTTGGAGGGAAAATGGGCACCAACAGCCACTGTCCACTTTCCTTCCAACCCACCCAGGCCCAACCCAGTACCCAGTGCCCAGAGCGCTCCACTCTCCTGCTCTGCCATCTGCACCACCAAGCTCTCCCTCTGCTCAGGGGGCTCCAGGCAGGCCCCACCTGCTCCAATCTGTCTCCCCTGCAGGGAGTGGAAGCCCCTGCTCCCTCGTCCTTACCCATCCCCCTTCTAGGTCTGTCCCAGAAAGAAACCCTAGAAGCCAACCACACAGGGCACTGACAGGCCACTCACTGAGCTGGACCCACTGGCTCTGATCCAGGGAATAGAAGAAAAAAAATTCCTTTCCCTTAGAACCAGAAAGGAAGGAGAGTTCCTCATGACGGGAATTTGATTTTTATCCTGTGTCAGTGAGCAACACAATGATTATTCATCGTGCTATCATTCGTGCCGCTGAGAACCAGCTCAAGTATCCCCCCTCCCAGAAGAGGCTGATTGGCTTTTTTTTGCCAACAGTCCCAATCGCATTTTGATCTGGTCCAAACTGACAGAGCAGACTCCAAGTCGTGATGAGCTCACAGGCACAATCAAGTCCATCTTTGTTATGCACCTGGAGGGAAGATGCTGCCACCTACGGCAGCTGACACTGTGCTTGTCCCACGGCACCGCACGTCAGAGTGCAGCTCCAGCCTGAAGCTCATGGACATGTGATCTGATGCTGGAGTTATTCCCCTCAGGCTCAGGCTCAGCAGGAAGAGGTGGTGGAATGACTTTCAGACAATGACTACTGGATCCTAGTCAATAGCTAACACCGGAACTGATCCTTAACCCATCCTCCACCCTGGCCTTCCCTCCTCTCAGCCCCCACTACCCACCAACCCCATCAGCCATGCCACTGAATGTCCCAGTGGCTCTTTGAAGCTCCTGTTAGAAGGAAAAAATTGCTAATAGCTGATTAATTGAATTGACTTTAGACTCACAATGGAGGTGGTACCAAAAAAAGATGAGGTCTCTCCTCAGGACTCTCAGATGTGTAAGTGCACGTGTGTGTTTAGGGGTGTGTATTTACTTTTCAATGAATTGCTACCCTTCATTCTAGCTCCCCCAGCCATGCCCCGCCTCCCATCACTGCTCCTGAGCAACAGTGACTGCTTCCAGCCAGCACCTGGCAGGGCCTCCAGCAGGCCAGAAGAGAGGCCGCAGCCACTGCCATTTGGAAGCTCTCAGTGTATTCAAAATTAAAGACCCACATCCAAACACAGCAACAGGCACCAGACTTTATTCTGAAAGTTTACATTTAGAAAATAAATGCTTTAGAACTCAAACAAACTTCATATGCATAACTCACTTGGAGATAAAACCTCAAAGTCACTATCCTCAGCCTTTGTGACTGTGAGTCTTGGGTCAAATGGCCTTTCCGGCCACTCTCACACCCCTCAACCCTGCCCCCCTCCCGCCGCAGCCTGGCTCTATTATATCCCCAGCTTCTGTAGTATCTTCCCACTTCCTGGCAATTCTTTCCTTGACTCATGAGACTTCCTCTGCTCTCTAATAGTCTCTGAGCAGCATGTAGGTCACTTTGCTTGGTTCAGCCAACATCTGAGTCCCCTGCTTCCGAAAAGCAGAGATGGTGTTTGAATCACCATGCAGGGTCCAAACACACCCATTGCCTTCTCAGCGTGTGCCACATTATAGAAAATAACGCTCTCCTACAAACCCCACCTGTGTGCCCACAGGCTAGCCTGGCTGTCAGGCACGCAAGCTTCATGCAGGGCCTGAGTTTGATTGTTGTCATCAAAACACTCCTCTCCCCCCGGGGCAGGCAGCCACAGGCAGGCTCAGCGTGTTGGCTCAGCAGTTTTTGGCAGCTG